CCCCCCCCCCCCCTCCAATGAAGCTGGGATTATACAGGGTTGTGCTGTTGTTGTCAAGGAAACGAAGGAGGAATTATCTCCCTATCTTATCTATACTCCATCCAAATTTTCCCACGCCCATTTTCCCGAGGTCCAAAGTCTCCATCCATTTTTACCCAAACATAGAATAATATTTCATTGGAATACCAAAATTCCAATTCTTGAGGTGTTAGTGCTCTCTTTACTCTCTCATATGGGGCAGAGGATGTGTGGGATTCCCATTGGCAAAATTTGAATACTAACCTCATATTTCAAATCCTGGCACTTAACCCCAACAACAGCATGGTGTCCTACTACATTGTTATCTCCAATTACGGTTTGACCAGGAAGATCATCTCCAACCACAGCACCACTGAGACATAGATATACGTACATGCATGTTAAACTTCTGAGAATCGAGAATCAAAGTATGACCTTTCTACAAGAAGAGTATATACATACGTCATCAAAGTACAATTCTTTCCAAGAATAGTGTTTCCGAAGATGTGGCTCCCGGCGTACAAGTGGCAACCATTCCCCAACTTCGCAGAAGCTCCAACGGTACAGAAAGGACCAACTGTCACACCCTACAAGCACAGGAAGTTTGTTTTACCATATTTGGGAAACAAACTAAGTCTTAGTTTGGTGTTGCTGCGAATTTTAAGCCGCTAAACTTTCCTTTCCAAACAAAATGTTTGGTGAATTAAAAAAGTATCGAAACAGCGATAAGATTCTTTTAAAAACACATACCAACTTACTTTTGGAAAAAAACATCATTGCTTATTTAGCTAAAAGAGTAGTCCCGCAAGTGAAAACCACATACTAGTGTACTCCATCCACCCCGAATTAATCGTTTTACTTTTCTTTCTAGTTCATCCCAAATTAATCACCCTAATTTCTTACATAACAAAGCAAAAAATATGTGATCCACAATTTTTGTTTTTCTTTCAAACAGATTTCAACCACTCAATTTTTTTTCTTTTTCTTATAATCGCCCTGATTACAGGCCATGGCTAAACAATCACAGGTGATCAAGCACTTGTGATTTTTAACACTTTCTTGAAAATTGCAAAGCATGGAATTACAAAGTGACTTACCCATTTATTAAAAAATGGAATCTTGAAACACTTTTTCAATAATTTATAAAAAGGAAAGAGAAAAAACAGCAAAGAAGAAAAACAAATCTTACCTCGCCCATGGTGGCACTGGGGTGGACAATCGCGGATGGGTGAACGGAGGTGGGTTTTCTCTGAACCGTAGCATAATCCTTCTCTGCCTCAGAAATGCCTGAATCCAAACAAGACGATTAGAATGTTTAATTCTTGAAATTTTTAGAAGTTCAGGATGGGAAAGGGGGATGAATAGATGAAGAGAGTGAGCTTTACGCGTTAATGTAGACGAAAGCCGGCGCAGAGTCGAAGGATTGAGAGCTACGGAGAGCCGCCTGCGGCTGCCGCCGCGGAGGAGGGAAGACATTTCGTCCGCTCATTTTTTGAGAGTAGAATTCTAATTTGTGTATTTATGAGGGATATTTTAAAATGGAATGAATTTGTCAAAATATCAATTGACAAAGATTTGGTTTGAAAATAGTGTTGTTGGATGGAGCATGCTACATGTGCCCAAAAAATTTGTATTACATTTATACACCAAATGTATGCATTAACATTTTGATGGTTTATACAGACACAAAGTATTAGTGCATTAACAAAAATTTACACTGACACAAAGTGTTGGTGCGTTAATAAAAATTAGCATTACACCAACATAAAATATTGGTGCATCTATGCGGTGTACAAAATGGGGTACAAATTGCATTATCTTTGTTTGATAAAATAGAGTAAAATTTTACACGAAAATTTGTACCTCATTTTGTACTCTAAAGACATGTATCGATATTTTGTGCTAGTATGATGTTAGTGTGATGATTTACATTAACAAAAAATATCAGTGTAAATTTTTTAAAGTGAACTAATATTTTGTGACAGTGTAAACCGTTAAAATGTCGGTGATTTTTTTTTTAAAGTGAACCCATAAGATGTGAACTCATATTGAACAACAATGTATCACCACTCCATATGGTTTCTCACTGTCTTGGCTTCAATTCTAAATGATCGAGTAAATTTTATTTTTATAGATGCTAGAATGACTAATCTTAATGCCAAAAGATTGTACTGTGACTCATAGACTTGCTTAACTTTTACACGGGTCTCTTATTTTGTTTGATTCTTCACAAAGAGTGTGATATTATTTGTGAGATAGCTCTTACTTGTGGTAAAACAAAGGCTTGATCTTTTACTCTCTTTTTTAAATTGCATTTTTGTAACATGTACAATCCAAGAGGGTAAATTCAATCAAGAGATTGGTAAATATTGGGCATATATGTTAGTCAATCGCAAGTAGGTGGATATCCACTATGTGACTGATATCGTTTGTTTGTGAGATATCTCATAATTTTTTTGTGAAAAAGACTGAATATTTTTTTGTTAGAAGTCACATTTTGTAGCATGTAAAACAAAGGGGGGTAAATTAGAAGAAGAGATAAGTAAATATTGGGCATATAAAGAGGTCAATCGCAAGTAGGTGGATTTCCACTCGACGGTAGTGTTATCGTTTGTGAGAACTCATAAATTTTGTGTAAAAAACTTGATCTTTTATCTTTCTTGTTTAAAATCACATTTTTGTAGTATGTATGATCGATGAAGATAAATTGGAACACGAGATGAGTGAATGTTGGGCAATATATGGGTCAATTGCAAGGAGGTGGATATCACTCGATGGCGGTAATATTGCTTGTGAGGTAGCTCAAATTTTTATTTGATAAAGGCTTCATATTTTACTTTTCTTGTTGAAAATTGCATTTTGTACGTAACATTTATGATCGAGGAAGATAAATTGGAAAAATTGAACGAGTAAATATTGGGCATATATATGCTCAATTGCAAGTAGGTGGTTGTCCACTTGATGGCGGTGATATGGTTTGTGAGATGCTCCGTAGCTCATAATTTTTGTGTGGCATAGCCTTGATCTTTTATCTTTCTTGTTGAAAATTGCATTGTGTGACATGTATGATCGAGGAATAAAAACTTGGAACAAGATATGAGTAAATATTGTGCATACATACATACATGTGTGTGTGTGGGTAAAATGCAAATAGGTGGTTGTCTACTCGGTGGCAGCAAGAAGACTTTGGGGTTTGAACCTTTAACTGTTGGAACAGGTACAAACTTTAAATATATTACATATCGTAGGGGCTACATTTGACTTCCTCTACACTAACCATGTCTTTTTGGTCAATTGTAGGGGTGATAACGAGTTGAATCAGCCCACAAATCATTTGAGCTGATTAAAACCGACAAAAAATTCAATCCAATTTTGAATTCACTTAATAGGGGCTTCGTTTGGTACATGGAATTCAAACTGTGAAATTCCAATTCTGGTGTTTGGTAGCACAAAAATTATGTGGATTTGGAATTGATAATGCAAAAAATGAATTGGAATTGGCAGAATTCAATTCTGTGGAATTGAATCCCATGGAATTTCAATTCCAATTCAATTCCAATTTCGTCAATACCGTATACCAAACGGACTCTTATATTCTTAACGAGCTAATTCATGTAGACCAAAATTCAACTTGAGAAGCTCGTGAGCAGTTTAATAGAAATGCTTCAGGTTTCGCTAGCAACAATGGCATGGGGCCATATGTTGGATATAGATGAAAGGAAATAGAAAAACGGGAACATAAGTCGCGAAATTCAAACTCATGCTTGATCAAGCTCAATCAAGATTCAAGTCAAGCTTTAATAAAACTTCGAGTCTAGCGTTACTCGAACTTCTAGTCAAGCTTTGGGATGAATCGGGCTTCGAACCGAGTGGAACTCTTCATTTTAATTTTCGAGCTCCAGCCAACTTTTTTTTAAAGCCCACGAGTCAAATCGACCTAGGCAAATAAAATTTTGAGCTCAAACCAACCAGGCTTGGGTATGAGAATGGAGATTGGAGACAGTGTTGGTCCCATCTTGGCATACCAGGCAAGAAAGTACTCCAACCCAGTGTGTATTTGTAGTAAACTGTTTGAGATTCATTTGAGAAGAAAAAATCGTACAATTGTATCATTAACGAGCAAAAGGCTTGTCAGTTGAGGCAATTAGATTATCATCTAAAGATTCAAAATGGGATTATCTTAGAAAAATAATTGTTTTGGGGAGGCCTAATGAACATTACGACATTAAGATAAGAGATAATTTGGATATCATATAGACCCACCTAGCTAGTCCCTTCTATGACAGAGATATTTCCATGACCTTCAAGATGACCAAAAATTCACCCGCAAGACTGGCTCAGGTATGAAATGGAAATTTTTCATACTTGAAGAGTACGCGGATGCTTAGTTAAAAAAAACCCGACCAAAAGTAAACGACGACAACAAATTCTATAAAATCCTATCTTAGTCCATACTAACATGCTAATATCAAAATGTTGTTCTTCAAGATGCTACTTTATCAAATATCATGAATCGTACTTTGACACCACTTTAAAATGTTTTTTTTATAATCAAAATGCTCAAAGAACCGCATAATGCTGGATAAAATGTTTGTTTGCGAAACAATACAGTTTGTTTTGATGCGTTGACAATGAAGCTTGTCCACATCAAGTATGTTGGTGTTATAAATACGCAACAACGTGGGAAAAAAACAGAAGAATATAGCCAAACTAACAGTGAGAAGTAGCAATTTGTGTAGGCCATTAAGAATCCCACACTATCATAATGCAAACACACAAACTTAGATGCACCATGTAAATATGTGTTGGGAGGGAAGTAGCTCCATATACTTACTTGGACGAGGTCTATGGGTGATCAAGAATGCCCGTGCCCAAGGTTGATGATTACCATTGCACTTAGATATACCTAGCCCACGTCATATTTCGTGAATCGTGACTTAGGAATATGTGTTTGCACTATCTCTATTGTTACAATATTATTTTTTATTCATTTTTGCTTTTTGTGGGGGGCATGGCATTGTTAGATTCACACACACATTGAGTGTGCAGTATGTGAGAGAGAGTGATTCAAGTACCTGCACTGTGGTAGAAAAAAGCCCCATCTCTTAGTGTTCACTGTGAATGCTGTTTGCCCAGAATATAAGTTTGAGATCTTCATGAAACATTTCCCTTCATGAAGTAGAGTTTGGATGAAGGCATTCAAATCTCTGCTATATTTATTCACACAGGTACATATAGACATGTATGTACACAAAGTATCTGTTTTCATGTACTGAACGGACCATCTTATTCTGCAAAAAACTAATAACAATGCCTAAAAATGTTGCAAATGGAAGAATATCATGTACCAATGTGTAAAAATGCAGGCAGGCTTCTGAAACAATGAGCTCTGCAAGGAATCAGAGACAACTGTCTGAAAACAAGAGCCGTTTAGGAGTGGAGGGACGATGCTTGACTGTGCCTATTGTTCGTCACAACTGCTTCTATCACGGCCTCGTCACGTGATGGAACTCTTAGATATGACTTCATCACATCATAGACTGTAAATCCAATTGCAACAGATGGCACAACCTGATGTTCACAATGAGAAGATAAAAATAGATCAAAAGGTATAGGGCTCCAGCCCTTGTTTGGGACCCAGAAAATGCTAGGGAAATGTATAAAGGACAAATGCCAAGGAAAATCCTAAAATTTCTGGGTTCGACGCAGAGGAAAATCCTAAAATTTCTGGGTTCGACACAGACCCGTAGTTTACACTTAAAATGGGACCGGCAGAGATCCAACAATCACCCTGGAGGAGTTAGTCCATAGACCAAATCAAAACTGAACTATATGTTTGTCAATGTTTTCCCCATGCTAAATTTGATTCTAGTTCGATATCACGTCTCCTACCCATTTTAAGCAAACATGACCAAAACCGAACAATATTTTGTTTTTCTAGATACTAAAATTGAAATTTAGTTCAACTATTTAAAAAAAGACCACGTCTTTTGCCATCTGGTTTGGATGTCATAATATGACTCCAAAGCTCTTGGACCCTGAAGTGGCCCCCTTCCACCCCATGAGGCATGTCCCCTTCCCCCTGCTCCGGATTACCAATATGTACAGTAATATAATATAGCATATCGGTGATCCATGGGACCTGGAGGATTTGTGTGGAAGGTTAGGGGGTTGGAACCATTCGGGGTCCAATGAAGCATCGTAGGACCTCAAATATCAAATGATTAATGTCATAATATGGCACCTGTGCTTGGTGTCAAAGATCATTGCTAAAAAAATTGATTTTAGTTCAGCAATCATCTGCCTGACCCATTTTCACCAAAAAGAGACTGTAAAAACCAAACCAAAGCCCCGAAATGCCTACTCATAATCTTAACCATCCTGTTTGAATGGGAGAGCTAGGATACCGACAACAACTGGATCAGGATCCATTTTATCATTACCTTGATGTAGTTGAGACTAAGCCCTGAAAACAAGTGTTTCCATCCATGTCTTTGGGCAATCATTAGTAGAGTATCAATTGTTCCTTTCACTTCGGCGCCATTAGATGCTGAAACTCGCTGAACCTGTAAACTCTTATGTTATTATATTTGCCTTCCATTCAAATTCAAGCATGCATGAGATAATAATGAATCATTACCTGCATTTGCCGCCTAATGACATCCAGAGGATAAGTGAAAGTCTGGCCAAGTAGTCCAGCAACTGATCCACATGCCAGTTTTACTGTGATATCCTTCTTGTGCTTCTCTGGGACCCGTCTTTTCATTTCTTCATAGAAATAGAACTTCAACCCTGAGTACGGGAAGATTCCATACAATGTAGGAGCTGAAAACACAAAGTTAAAAACTCAAACGTAAAGAAGCAGATGAAAACCTTAAGAGTACATTTGGATCTTGGAAAATGATAGGGAAAGGGAAAAAAGAACACCCATGAAATTTGTTTTTTGTGTTGAATTTGTCTTGGAAAATCTAAAGGAAAATAAAAATTGGATTTTTCTCGTTTCTTTTAATACATATATTTAGATTTCGTAGTTTTTATATAAGGGAAATGAATAAGTAAGTTGACAATGAACCAATACGAAAAATAAATTAATTGAGTTAAGCGTCTTTTATTTTTCATTAAATTTTCTTTCAATTTTCCTCTCTTTTCTTTCCCAATACCTTTCCTGGTTCCAAACAAAACCCTTTAAAAAATTCTTAATCAGTATATATTGCTTCAAAGCATTATGTTCATACCAACGCCACGATAGAGGCCTCGTATTCCAGCCTCTTTGTAAGTCTTGGAAAAGCAATCCAACACACCCTTGTAAACTTGTTCACTGGGAAAAACAAGCCCTTTTACATTCAATTTTGGTGAATCAATGACCTGGACAAGCAGTCATCAAACTCTCTTGAAAACAAAGTAGGAATTAAACTCGGCGGCTTTATCATAGTTGGTTACCTGAAACGCTAATTTAGTTCGAACTAAATCTAAGGGGTAAGTGAAAAGGACAGCAGTTCCTCCAGCAAACGATCCAGCTATAAGGTCAAGAACAGGACCTCTTCCAATATTGGGATTATAGTGAATGATCCATCGTCTGTACTCTTCATAGGCCATAAAATGCAATGCTGCATACGGCACAATTCGAGCAACACTTGCTCCATTTCCCCTAGAGGACACGTTTACCCATTGCATACATTTAGTTAGTGGACAAGACAAAACAAAGTTTAAGAAGAAAATAACATAAACTGAAAGGGAATATAGATTTCCTACCGGTAAAACCCAAGCACCCCTTCTGTCTTTCCAACCTTTGTAAAGGACCCCAACAGCCCCAAACTACAGAATTCAGCTTGTCTGGTCTGATAAAGACACAGTAAAATGCATTAGCATCCCAACATGTCTAAGAACATTGCAAAATTATCTGTTCATTAGATTAAAGCTTGTGGTTATGTCCTACTAAATCAAACTAGTAGGAGGAGCAACTCAAGACATTGTAGGTTGGTTACTGTTTATATATTTGTTTGTTGTAGTATGAGTATGACCTCACACATTAGAGTTCAAAAATTCAATCGCGGCTTCTATTGGCTGAATTTAGACTTGGGTTATGAGGCATGATCTGACTATTGATGTTATGGGAAAAAACAGTATCTCCAAAAGAATGTACTCACTACATCCGGATCCAGTTGTCCACTTTCTAAAAAATACCATGTTTAAGAAATGATTTTAGAATGTAAATTAAGTCTTTCAAATGTGTTTGTCACACATTCATGACAACAATGCTCATACCCTACCTCTATGATATTATAGACAGTCGATCATAATTTATTTATTCAATATGGAAAGTGAAAAACTAACTCTGGACAAACCAAAACAAAAAAGTGGACAACTGAATCCAGAAAAAGAGAGTATATGGTGATTATGAATTTATGATAACCAATAACAAAGTGAACACTCATCCACTAGAAATTAAGTACTCCAGATACCAATTAAGTAGTTTATTGCAGTCGGGTTCATTGAAGGATTTGCTTCTCCCTCACTGTTGGTGCTCTCACATCCAACAGAACCTAATAGCAAAGGAAAGGTCGGACATTTTTTCACGCCAACCACTGCCCTCATTCATATCCACCCGATAACATGAAGTTTAAGTGTATATTCTCCACAATCTTCCAAGTGACTACACTCCCATAAAACTGCATTTGCTTTGTTTCAGCTCTACTTCATCTAATCAAGACCGTTGCAAAACTAGTGCCTAATTGGGCATTAATCAATGTTGGAGAGGCTTAGGTGGAAATATAAGGAGCCTGTGTTGGAAATATACATGTGTCCACATACAGTCTAGTATATAGTATCTACTATCTAGGGTTTGGGGAAATTATCCGGGGCTAGGGTGAAATGTTTAAGACAATGATCAAGATTTCTTTAGAAAATAATACAAGGATAAAATATTTCTGTTTTGAATTGTCTTGGAGATTACAAAGATTCAATCCTCTTTATATAGGAAGACGGTAAAGCAAATAAGTAAACTTCTATTCCTACCATATTTCTATTTCTTCTAAAACAAGAATTAACTAAAACAGTAAAATACCAAACCGAACCCCAAAAGGATTCGGTCCCTTCTTGTNACCCCCCCCCCCCCCCCGCCCTCAAGCTAGAGTGGGGGATTACGAGTGCCCAGCTTGAAAAACACAAGATAAAACGATCTTTGTTCCAGCGTCATCTTAACACTTCAACAAATAATTTTTCTTCTTCTTCGACGGAGACGCCACTCTTTTCAAATTCGCCGAATAACCCATCGAGTAAAGGAACGCCATTCTTTTCAAACCTTCACCGAATTCAAACAAACAAGACAAACGCCATACTTTTTGAACATCCTAAACGCCATTTTTAAAATTTTCGCCTTGAAAAATTGTCCTCATTCTGCAGAATAACCCTTGTTGGGAGATTTCTTCATGAGTCATATTCTTCATTGAGAATGACATCCATCTAAGGATGACGGGGGTGACTTGTGACCAAAGAGACCTTGACAATTGGTGTGGCACTTTCCACAAACCAATATAGATTTGTTTCCGCGGCAAGGTGATGGGCAGAAAGAGTATGGAATGGTAGTGATTCTTGTGATTCGATATGGGTAGGGTTTAGGTTTGAGGTGTTGTCGATTTGGTGTTGGTAAGACATTTGGATTGGAGGAAGGACAACGGCCTAACGGGCAGCTAATCGCGGTGCCGCCCGCCAAGAGCAAAGACAGAAAATTTTAGGTCACCAAGAACTTTACTTTGATACCATGTAGAAAATAATACGATGAAAAAATATTTCTGTATTGAATTGTTTTGGAGATTACAAAGATTCAACCCTCTATATATAGGAAGAGGGTAAAGCGAATAAGTATACTTCTATTCCTACCATATTTCTATTTCTTCTAAAACAAGAAATAAACTAAAATGCCTTCAAAAAAAAGAAATAAACTAAAATAGGAAAACACCAAACCGAATCCCTTTATAAGGTACGGAGTAATTGTCAACAACAATTATAAGATACGGAGTAATTGTCAAGAAACCAACCCAACCAAAAACTCAAGCTTGTGGTCGAAGACCTAAGAATAGTTTTTTACTCCCAACAATAATCAGAAGAAGAAATCATTCGTGCAGATTACTAGCAAACGGAGAGCTGTTAAAAATTGTACAGAATCCTAATAATCAATGTACGCTAAAACCTAACAACAACACGTCAGAATAATTAATCTATCAACTCAATGTAAAAACATCATTCTCAAATCATAGTTAAATTCGAATCAAAACTGGAATTATTTTCATTTATTAAAAAGAAGGGTCAAAAAGATAGGGAGAAGATAATCGATTGATCATATGTAATCACAAGAGCTGGGAAGAAGACCTGAAACAAGATCTTGACACGCTCAAGTGGGGCGACACCGGTCTTGGCAAAGCCGCCGGCTACACCGCCGGCGATCAACTCCTTGGCGAAAACAGGCAACCCATCGAAGGCCCTTTTCCTCTCTTCTCCCTGCTTTTCCATTCACTTGAATCAGCAATACTGCGACGGCACAGGTAAGAGAGGGAGACGTGAAGAAGGGGGTAAAGGCCGCAGAGGGAGGAAGAGGATGAATACCTATAGGTAGGTGGTTGATTTTTTAGATGCTCGGCTTAGAAAACATGGGGGCGGGAAGGCTATGGAGCCGAGCCCAGTTCTGAGTAAATAGGCTTCTCTCAGTTGGCTTAATTTAACTACATTTTTTTAAAAATTATGGTCTCATCTGATTAGATTTAATCTGATTTAATCTGATATATTCTAACTAATTATAACCTAAATTCGATTTAAATTAAATTTAAAATTTTCTATCATACGGAGTAATTTAATACGGAGTAACTTTTAAAAATTATAATGACCATTCATATTATATTGCAATCAATAACTCTTATTCTAGATTTAATAGATTTATGAAATAAAAATAATCAATTCATATATATATTAAAACTAAAAAAATGACAATTATCCATAATTGAAAATTTTAATCATTTACTTTTTAATATTGAATATAATAAAGAGAGTAGTATTATTAAAATATCAAATCATTGGAAGATATAAATGTTATGTTACAATATATTACATTTTTTTTCTGCGTTTTACATAATAAGTTTTTACTACAAAATTAGAATATAAATTTTTTATGCTACAAAAAATTACATTTTTCATAAATTCAAAACAAAAAATAGTATTAGATAATAAGTGATTTCATTTTCAAAAAAATAACCTCAAATTTGAGTGTTGGATAAGATGTAACCTAAGTATAGTTGATAGGAATTGAAGTATGTTTCTAATAATTTCATTTATATAGTATGATCATTTTTATCTTCATTGTCACGAATGGAATTCAAACTTACTTTTTTGTACTCTCTCAATTGTCTAAGTTAAACCACCCGGACATTAATTCGTTTTTCATAAACATGTGTAGAAAGACAAATAATTCTTCTGTTCCTCATATATCTTTTCAAGTTGACTTTTTATAGTTTTAAGAAAAAGTTAAAAAAGGTCAAACTTTATAAAAATGCCCTTAATGAAAGTTGGTGGAGTAAATTAAATGAAATGAATGAGATGCAATAAATAAAGTATGACAGTTGTGATATTTTAAATATTAAAAAAATTAAAGAAAATGGGAAGATATATCTTGCACAAATAAAAGAATATTTGAGAATATATATGACGAACTAAGAAGTGTTTATCAAGTAGAAAATGCATCAAGAAAACTATAAAAAAATCTCAGTTATTAACGACTAATATTATTATATTTAAGCAAAAAAAGAGAAAAAAGTCATTTAATGAACTTTTTCGTCTCACTATCCATCTAATCAAATTACTCCCTCCGTCGAATAATAAAGTTCACGTTCACTATTCACAGGGTCAAACTTTATTTACTTTGTTGGCCTATTTTTGTGTCTTATTTGATAAAATAATATAATCATGACACCTCTAGTTTTGTAGATCTTTTCATATAGTTTTTAAATATGTAATTTTTATTTTTTAATTTCATACCATTTTCATATAAAATGATTTGAAAATAATTTCAGTCAAACATCGTAACGCGCAATGAGAACTTTATTTGTGGACGGAGGGAATATATTTTTAGATTTGTAGGCTCCTTTCTCCAAAGCTTGTAGGCTCTTTTAGACCTTGTTCTTTTGGAGTTCAATTTTAGAGTTAGATGTTACAAAAAATTGGAAGGAATTGAAAAGAATTGGAAAATGTTGGAAGAATTTAAGTGTTAGAAAGTCAGTCACCTAAATGATCACTCAAATTAATATGTAAGAAAATTTAAATTTTGGATAAAAAAAATCATCGTTGTCCATGTTTAAAGTGACATGTTATAATTTTGGGTATATAAAGTTATTGCATGCATTCATCATATTTCCTTCGTCCTAAAAAATGTCACAGTTACTATTTTGGTTTCTCGAAATTTTTTATTTGCTTACTCGTTTTGGTTGACCATTTGATAAAATAAAATCTTCTTGTCGCATGTTGTTTTGAAAAACTTTTGATGTACTTTTAAACAGTTTAATTTTTACTTTCTGTTTCTCTACTAATTTGTAAATAAAATAATTTTAAAAAAGATGATGTTTTGCACATTTTTTAAAATGTTGTAAACAATTTGAGACGGAGGAAGTATATAAATACAATTCTTAAGTTGTTGGAATAAACTAGAAGAATTTAAAAAAATTAAGAGTTAGAAAAAGTTAAAGGTTAGTTTTTCCAACCCAAAAGTCTTATAGTATTATAGAAAAATTAGAAATAGGATTATGGTTTACTGATGTGCTCCCTTCGATCATGGGTTCACTTTTTGGGCCGGTCTAATACCTTTGGGCCTAGAAGAATATTAATTATATCCATCCTCGTCCTATTTTTCTTCTCATTTTCCTATTTTGGTGTGGCTACCTTTTTTTTCTATCCTGTTTAGATATATCAAAATCATACAATTCCACCAACAGCAATCCGTGAATGAGGAAAAGTCAGAAAGAATGTGGGACAACATATTATTTCTTACTCATATTTTGTTTTATCTCGAATACTTTGATTTTAGAATTAGCGTTAAATTTATTTTTTCCTAATCAATTATGTAAAAAAAATTGACTAGAAAACTGTTCCTGAGTATAATTATTTTGAGAAACTGACTATCGGGTAATTCACATTTTTAAAATATAATACAGGACACCTTCAAATATACATTAACTTGCCCGTGAGGGACATTCTGTCTCACTCTCTATCAAAGCCAATTATGCCATTAATTTTAAGAAATATGTGTTTGAAGTTCCAAAAATAACCTTGGTTCTTATAATTTAAGAATACAATCTATCCAGTTTAATTGAAGCTTTTGAATGAAACGGAATGTCCCTCACGGGTAAGTTAATATACATTTATATTTTAAAAATGTGAGTTACCCGAAACTTAACTTCTCAAAATAGTGGGTACTCCAGAGTATATTTTTAAAATATAAGGTACCCAACAGTTAATTTCTAGAAATAGGAAGTACACAGGCGTAATTTTTTGAAACATTGACTACCAAAACATGTGTTTATATCTTCAAAAGTTAAAGTACACAGGCGTATAAAGTTCCATTTTAAAGATGTGAAATAGTTAGAATAATAAACTTCTATAGATATTATGGGTTACAAAATTGGAACTTTATACGAATGTACATCTTGGATACCTTAAGAATCAGATCCATATTAGGGTACCCGATTTGTACTCCATATCCACTGGCTCATTGTGTGATAAAGATGTCAATTGAGATTGAGAAATTATAAATGGGAACTAGTATTTTTTTGAGCGGGTAAACCAAAAGGTGTACTCCAAATGTACATCATCCATTCTCCACTACACATTTTTATTTGATTTTTATTTACTTATTTTTTTTAAATCTTTTTGCCTTTTTTAGTGGACAAGGAGGGGGTAGGGGACATATGGAGTACACCTTTGGTAAGGTGTACCCCTAGCATTTTTCTACGGAGTATTTTTTTAAAAAAGAATCCTTAAATCCTGCTTACTTGGGAAGAGTCCAATATTATATTGGTAATGTCCATGTGCAAAAATGCGCATAGTGTGAGCGGAATCGTTTGGTTGGCGTGTGGGGTGGGTGGGGGGTGGAGGTGGGGGGTTGACAGTTGACTGTAGAATGATCCATTTGCTTTTCTTTTTTTGGAGAAACTAAAAAAATCAATCACCAACCCCACTGTGTAATGTGTTTGTGGCCAACTCATCATAATATTCATCACCAGCTAAGACAAGTCATTCTTAGCTGGACTCTTCAAAGTTCGCCGCCATTATGTGCCGCCGCCCTCTCCCGTCTTCTGTCTTGGTGTCACCTGCCCTCCTTTTTCTATTCACACTTGATAAGATAGATTTTTGTGAATAAAAAATATAGCATTTCGGGTAACTTTTTAGCAGGGTAAATTGATTTTGAAAATATTAAAATCGAATGTGATCATTATATAGTGTTTCCGAAACATTAAAGCTAAACGTTAAAATTGTTACTTGACGGTGAAGAATTCCACGTAGACTAACTTGCTCTTTCCAATTATAGTTGTCTTAATGGCACACAAATGAGGTAAATGTTACTTTAACCCCAGAGGTGATACTAAATAGGCACATTAGACATAATCACGCATCGACAATTATTGTCTGTGAGACACTAATTGTGTCAAATTGAGGCTTTTTTTAAAAAAAGTCACATTTAGACTTGAGAGATTGCAAGCACTCCATTTCATATATGGTCCCTGACTACAATAAATGAATCCAAATGTCCCATCCCTGTCCATGAAAGAATGTTGGCTCCTATATCTACAACCATATCTGCCCCTCCTCCCTTTCCTAGNTCAAATCTCCAAAAATTTAACATGCAAGAACAAAAGAATTGACAGAAAAAGGAAAACCTATATGGTTGTCGGATTTACAGGGGGGGGGGGATTATGAGACCTGTGTCTTTTAGCGTTTGGCACTTTGAGACGTGAGACGGGTCTTGATTGGTTTCAGCTTCAAACCCATGCTTTCAGGGGAGAGGAGCTCCGGGGCGATGCAAGACGGGCTGAGTGGGCTCCTTGGGCTTCCGGTGTGCTGGCTCGGCCTGTACAGTCCAAAGCCCATTAGGAAATACTCTAACGGGATCAGCATTGCGTGTGGCTGCTCCTCTGTCACCATCGATCCACAAGCTTGTACCTGTCGCAATATACAATAAGTTGCAGTTCATACACTTGTGTTGATTCTCTAACTTCAGTATAGACTGACACCTTTTGAAAGGAGAGGTTTGTCTTGAAAGGGCTTAGTTAACATTTTGATACATCTATTTGAGCTTTGAAATATTGAATAATTAAAAATTTACGTATGTATTTTGGATCTTGTATTTGATCATTTTTAGAGACATTTATTCATCATGATATAGATTAAGCCCTCTAAAACCTTGCCTTCCAAAACCCTCCATCCACATGCCCTTAGGGGTGGAAGCATAATGCATATGCCCATAAACAAAACCCAGTCTAATGAATGGTAATCCATCTATTAAAAGGTAGTAGTAGTAGTGAATTGGATTGTCTATAATGGCTCATAAATAGATTGTTTATAATCACGTAATCAGATCATTATAATGAAAAATAAAAGTTTATCCAATCCAATCACCTTGAAATCACCCCTCGCTCCCCAAAGTTCATCTCGTTAACATTCTAGCTTATATCACTGGCAAAGTTTAGCTAACCGTGTACCTCGACTAGAGCACTGTATCTTCTATCAAGTTTTGAAGTGAAGTGGAGAGCCTCTGAATGGAAAGGAGAATGATCCCCAACAAATATGAGGGTCCGACACTGCAATTTCTTCAATCCTTCTGTTATGTCAGGTCTCCTGCTCATTTCCAAAAAAAACCAGTATAAATAAATTCAGAATTCAAGCTAGTTGAACTACAAGCTAACTTTATTCATTCATTGACAAAACTGGTATCCCCTTCTTACTTATCAATGGCTTGAAGAAACCGCAGTACATTAATGCTCTGCCTCTCATCAAGCAACTGAAAAACGTGAAAAACAAACGAACATTGAGCCACATTGGAATATACAGAACCAATGTAACGGACTTGGAGTGACTTCCAGGAAATAAATGTGTAGTTAACATAATACTCCAGTAATAAAAAGTTTAGAAGGTAAATGGAAGAATGTGCTTTTAAGCGTTTAAATAAACACTTCTATTGCTTATTTCAAGAAAATAGCAGATTCGTGCTTTTTTGAAATGTGAAAAAATTTGATACTTGTGCAATAAACCATGTCAAAGAGGCTAAGCTCTTACTCTTCTGCAAGCCTGAACAATGTCGGATTCTTGAATTTCTGTGCTTCCACGCACTTCCTGACATGATTAAAACCACAACCTTTTTATACTCCCCAAGGCAAAAGCATTGGAAAAATGTTTTGAAACCAACTATACCTTGCTGAAGTACCGGTGTAGTAAACACTCCTTAAGCAGGCCACACATTCCATAGTAATAGAGCAAATTGGACATAACCTAAAGATTTAAGAAAAATAGATGTCAACTTGTTCACTTCAATTTCCCATTTCTATCTATAAGTGAGTGAAATATAAAGTAAGAACCTTATTGTATAACCACTCTGTCCAAGATGGTGTTTTGCAAAGTGGAGAAACAAGAATCAAACCGGCAACTCGCTCCCTAAATTTTAGCTGCAAAATGGCATCACATATATGAAATTAGAACAAAATCACATGAGATAGCCTAGTATAGGTGGGTAACATTATTGAGGGAGACATACAGCAAATAAAGTAAGGATATAAGCACCAGCCAGTACTCCCATGCACATCACCGCACCGAGCCTGAAGAAAGACAATGTGAAAACCATTAGAGACAAGTTACTCCTAAAAGAGGTATGTGAACGACAAGAGTTCTTTTTCTTATTTAGTGCACAATTTCATTTCTGAAACGAAGGGAATGACATTGCACAACAAAAGGTTTCAAGATATATAAGTTTGTTGGAGTATATATTCTACTCCGTAAAAGAGTAATAATGGCAAAGAAGTTTAGTATGGTACCCGAAATAGTTAAGAACCTCAAGTATCTGATCTGCTAAATCGTCCGCAGAGGGCACAGGATCATCAGGATAAATTGCACCAGCTCCTAACTGCAAGAACTCTTGTGGAAGTCAAGGCATGTCGGGCGAATAAAATAGTATAAGGAATCTGTGCAAAGTCTTAGGTAGATAAAATTTCAAAACAACATGAAAGTGTAAAAGCAGACAAGTAAACCAATTGACAAACCTCGTGACCAGGAGGGCTAATGTGGTAGATGCAGAAGTTGTGCAGCAGCAAAGATGATGCTTCAGGACAGAAGAAAAGACCCTGGAAACAGGACATATCTGTGCAGCAAAACATGCATTAGGCTCAGAAAAATGTTGGACACAAAGGCAAAATTCAAACAAATAGATTAAACTTTTTTAAGATGTACTCACGATTTAGGGCTAAATCAGGATAAGTTATTAGAGCCGGCTTTTCTTGGTCTCCATAAACTATGACAGACACAGAACCACAGCCAGTCTTAATGATATGTTCCTGAAAAAAAAACTTCAATTAGGTTACAGAAATTGCCATCAACCCTTAGAGATAAAACACCATATCAATTACAAAACCTGCAATGGCTTAGGAAGGTAACATATAGAGAGCATAAAGTAGCTGTGATTTAAAAAAATATGAGAAGATGACAAGAAATAAAAGATGACAGGCAAAGTAGTCCAAGAAATGAAAAGACAAATCAGAAAGGAAAAAAAAGAAGAAAAAGTAGAATATATGTGAAGCCATAACACTCCAAGAATAGATTCAAACAGAATACCAACAAAAATTATCAACCTTTTTTTGAATTCAAAAAAAAAGGGGATTCCACTTCAGCTATCAATCAGCCTTCAGGCTTCAGCCCTAACCTCAAAGGCCATAGGGAAAACTGGAACGAGAAAACTCGCTTAAATCTTGAACAAGAACAAGGATGATTCCTTCAAGCCCATCAAAAACAACAAGAAAATCCACAGCATACAAACTAAAAAATCAATTTCCTAACCAAAAAGGCAAGAATCTAAAATCCGATTAGAAGAACTGCGCAAATGCAAATCGAATAAAATCATAAATCCTTTTCAATTGAAATCGACTTCAACAATCATCAATACAATATACAATAGCCTCATAGCACGGAATGCATACATATTATCTTCACGAAATTTACCAAACAAACACAAAATATAAAAAATTAGAGTCGAAGAAATTGAACCTTTCCGCCAAGATAGATGGTCTCGACGTCGATAGAAACCGAATCGCTGCCTGAATCTGGCATGGCCGCCGGCTCTCTGCGTCTGGAAAAATGAACGGAGAGAAAAAAAACAAAATACAAAGCCGACTAACTCTCTTTCTCTCTCTCTCTCTCTCTCTCTCTCTCTCTCTCTCTCTCTAAATCCCCGCTCTCTCTCTCTATGTATAGATACAAAAAATGTATGTATTTATCTGGTTGAATAATCAAACAGAGATTTCTATGGCGCTTATATATATACGAAGCGATTCTTTCTCCTTTCTCTTTCTCTCTATCTCTCTGGTTTTCTCTCACTTTCACACAGTCTCAGTTTCTCTCTCTAAATCTCTCTCTAAATCTCTCTCTCTCTCTCTATCCAACGGTTGATTAAATGTATATCCAACTGAAATAAAATCTGCGGTTACCACCGACGCCATAGAGTCAAGATTTATTTACCCCATATCTATTTTTTATTTTAAAAACACGAATGGTAAAGTTTTGATTTCACCCCACCCCAAAATTCAATGCTCCCTAGATTTGAGTAAATAAATGAAAAAAGTGCGGAATATTTATTTGACATAAATGGATGATAATTAGAAGATTAACTATTGAAATTAAGTGGATAAATATTGTTGTGGGAGGGATTAATTATTATTTTTTTTGAAAAAAGTGATTAAACGAAATTAATGCAGAGTTTATATCGTTTGACTTTATAAACAATATATTCCATAAATGAAACAAGGTAAATACAATGGTGGACTTGGGCTTTTGTTTAGGAGCATTTTCAATTTACGTTAGTATTATGGATAAAAATTTAATGGTGTAGAGTAATTATGAAAATGCTAATGTTAATGATGGTGTAAATTACTTGGCCGGTCAAACTATACTAGACCGGGTCTAGAATAATTTGCTTGATTTGGCAAAGTAAGAAAGGTAAAAACTCGCAGATTGACCAGTAGGACTTTAGGTGGAACACCTGTAGCCCAATTTATATTATAACGGAGAATGCACGGGTGCTTTTACAAGGGAGTTTAGAGACAGTGAATTCGGATCCCCCTTTTTGAGGTTTACATGAGTATTTATACTAGGCTAAGGGGGACAAGCCCACGTGGGGGCATGCTGCTGATGTGGTGCGAGGTGACTGGTTTCGTCCTTGAGCTGCCTTGTCATCTTGCGAGGTGTGTTGTGCCCTTGTCGTGTTCTGGTTTGGAAAAGTTCCTTTGGCATCTCTACTGATTCTCCAGTAATGTCAGTCACAACAGTCCAAGTCCTTTTGGACTCTTCCTGCCGACACCTCAAATCCTCGGAAACTTCACCGGTTGGTTCTTGAGGGTTGATTAGCTAGCTTCGAAGGATGGAATTGAACGATAGAAAAGTTTGACCGGTATACTATCCGAAGTGTACCGGTCAACCTTTTGGTCAACCATCTATCCCCTTTGCCGACGATTCAGGTCATCTACTCAAGTTTGACCTCTTTGACCGGTCAATTATTTGGTTCCATCTTTTGACCGGTCATGGGTGAGATACACCCATCAGTTAAAAATTACTGTCAGATAATCTTTTTAATTTGCTAACGCTAACTTGTAACGTTATCTTTTTTTAACAACTAATGCTAAAGCTGATATCACACGGGGCTTTAATGACGACTTTTGAATAATTATTGATTTTGAATAAAAAATTATTTTCATAAAAAAGGTTGGCAAGATAAACATCCCATAGAGAGTCAAAATTTATTTATTGTTCGTGTCATAATATAAACAATGATAACTATTTTCGTCATCTCTCATCCCATCCAATTTCATTTCTCGATTATAACATCTAAATAATTATTAATCGACGGTCAGTATAAAATACACACACAAAGTATACATACAATACATATGTATTTTCTCTCCAATTTAGTTATTTTGAGGTCAAATTTTAACCAATTACCACATCTTGCTTTGAAGAGAGTCTCCATCATCAAATTTCCTCGTTCTATCCATTTTTTTACCCCCACGCTAACTCCAATTGTGCACGATTACCTACCAATACTCGTACCTTTTTGTCAAAAGTAAACACTCCTCTTTAAGGCAAATTTGAATGAAAGGGGTGGTTTAATTTTACTCATTATTTACTTTTAACATCAATTTTATTTTTTATCAATAAAATATATACTGAGTACATTTTATTTTTTTTACCAATTTCAGGCATGTCGTTTTATTGAAAATCATTTCTTCTTAATTGCAATGTGGATTTGTTTTCAATTCACATAGATCTCACATTTGTTGTTTCCTGTGTACCCTCAAATTTTGGACTCGCTATTGTGAGAAAATTTAAAAATTGGGCATGGATTTAAAATTTATAATAAATCTTTTAGGTTGTTCTAGTCTGATGAATTGGAAATATGGAGCAATTATTTTTCGAGAATCGGATTAGAAACACTCCTCAATTTACACTCTCCCATTAAATTTCTTCACCCCAATTCCTATAAAATTCCATTTGGTACACGAAATTCAAGCTATTGAATTGAAATTGGGGATTTTTAATTTCAATTATACTGTTTGGTAGCACACAAAAAATGTGGATTAGGAATTGGTAATACAAAAAAATGAATTAAAATTGGATTATACAATTCCATCGAATTCAATTCCATGGAATTTCAATTCTAATACAATTTTAATTTCGTCAACTTCGTGTACCAGAGAGACTCTGATTTATTTCCTAATAGAGTTGACTTAGTGAAAAAAGGAGTAAAAGTACATGCATGAAATTGACAAAGAAATAAAGATTGTATATTTAATTGACAAAGAGTAAAATTCATGCAATTTATCCTACTTTTAAACAATAAGCTAGATAAATTTGAGGGTACAACAAGCTTAGAAAATAGAGAAAAAACATTCCAAACATGTACTGTAGCTTTACCCGAGTAATCATCGACAACAATTAAAATTGACGAAACACAATAAAATATTTATCTTGGACATGTTTTTCACAACAAATAAAGTCTTAAAAAAATGTATGAACCCGTGTCTTTTTTACCCTCCCCATGCCATCTAAAAGAGTACAAATTCCATACACTTTAAATTAATATAAACTTTTATTTAAAAAAAGATGTGATAATAATATTTTATTTTATCAAAAAATCAATTCAGACACAAATAAACATAAGTTATCAATACTTCAATAATAATTGAGATGATATTCTTGAGACAGAGAGAATAGTATAGGTTAAACAAATTTAAACTATTTCATACATCAAGATATTAGTAATTTAGCATTGATGACGACAATGTATTTGGAGAAAACAAATCTTGAAGAATAAAATCAATGCAATCTTCCATGCCTCAAATATGCAACGGAACCAAGAATGACAATCGTATGTAAATTTGTTATTCAATCCACGTATATAGTTATATTTTCTTTGTGATATAAATGACACATGTGGCGTCATGCTTCCGATGTTGGAGCATTTTTCATACTCCGCAATTTTTTAATAAAAATGTTGAAAATCTATCAAGTCCTACACCATTTTCGAAATGAAATTAGGTGTGCTAAGGGTGTATTTGGTGTGGAAACAAGATATGGAATGATGGTGTAAATATCTTCAGATATTAGAATTCTTTTTGGATGTTTGGTGAAGCCAAAAAAATATCGAATTCGATATCTCCAGATATCATTAATATATCAGATGGAGAGTTTTGAGATCTCTCGAATTTGGGAGATATCAATTCAATATGGTAGTTTGATATCTTTCTTCATTGTCGGTCACCCCCGCTTATCAATAGCTAATTAAATCATAATTTTAAAATCTCTCCAAACAAAATTATTTCAAATTTCAAAACATATATTCCCTCCGTCCCTAAATAAAGTTCCTCTTTCGTTTTTTCTTTGTCCCTAAATAAGCTTCTCTTTTCCCTTAAAAAACCCTTTTTACCCTTTACTTTTTCATACTCTACCTATCACATCATACCTTTTTACTAATAATCTACCTATCACATCTTACTTTTACACATCACATCAAGGGTATTTTTGGAAAGTCAACACAAAAATATCCCTCTCTTAAATCCTCAAAAAGTCAAAAATGGAACTTTATTTAGGGACGAAGGAAGTATTATTTCTCCTTGATTCCATAACTCATATCTTACTATATATCTTCAAAATTCGCTAAACGGGCCCTAATTGTCTTTATTTTAATGGGTTTGTAGCATGGCTCATTTCTTAATGATGTAAATAAAGTTGAAAATCTGTAGCTAATGTTAAATGTTAAAATCAAACGCTAAAACTATTTCCAATTTTTTTTGTTAAAAAATTATTTCCAGATTAAATCAGTAAATTTATTAAAAATCTAATTGTGTGAAACTGTTTTTTAATTGTGCAGTGTTTTGGTACTGACTGATACCACGTACTTAGATTGGTCAATCAGTCAATAATGTTTTGTAATCTTTCTCCATAATGTCTTCGCGTTAATTAACATTGTTTTTAATCACCATTCACAGAAATTAATTAATTGAAATTATTGAACTGAAGAGAAGTTAAAATGATCACTGCAGGTTAACAAACAGTTTAATTACGACATTACGGGCCTATTTGAAAATATTGTCAGACGTTAGTGTTAACATTTTAACAAAGCTATCTACGAGAAACATTTAGCGTTAACATTTTCAAAATTAATCTACACCGTTAAAATTTTATCCAAAACGCTACATGTTTCGGTATGAATTTAAAATTTTAGAAAGATAAATAAATTACTACCTCTGTCAATCATTTTGCCATAGCAATTACTTAGTTAATTCTTTCCTCCGGCAAAATGGTTCAATTACATTTTTCCGTATTAATTTTTTCCTTAAAAAAATAAATTAATTTTTTTGAAAATGTAACGGATCGGAGGTAGGGTGGTGGTTTAGGGGGTGGGTTAGGGGGGTAAGAACCGTCAATTTTATGAACGGAGCACCGGAGGTGCCCCAAAAACCTACTGGCACCGGAGTGGCACCGTTCTCCAGTGTCACTAGAACCGGACCGAATTGATTAATACCGGGTAACCATTGGAGAAGATCTTTCCGAAAGTAATGATTTGACAAAGCTTTAGCTTTAAAACAAATTTAATACTTGATGTAGCATTCATAAATGTTGTCATAAACTCTCTATGTCCCAAAATATTTTTCTTATTTGATTTTTAATGATCTCTAATGTTATATTTTGATCGTTAAAATCTATATTTGTATATATATACAATGACAACAATGTTTTTCA